AAGAGAGCCACATGGCGCTCTGGGGTCTGTCCCCTTTCTGGGCTCAAGGGTGCCGTTGGGGTTCACATGAAGAGACAGGACTTCTTACCACACAGCCCTGGGACGTCGTAGCCACGCTGGGCTCACCAGGCCTGGGCTTGTTGAGCGGACCTTCCCTTTTTCTGGGAGTCTTTGCCGCTTGGGTCCACGAAGCCCCAGCCTCCCGCCTGCTGGTGGCCTGAGGGAACTTCGTGCAGGGGCTGCCCTCCCCGGTCCGCGTGGGCAGGGATGAAGGCATGTGATGAATCTGACGACCCAGAGGAAGGACCCTGGCTCAAGAGAGACCATGGAGGGGAGAGGGTGTGCGTGCAGCAACCACCCAGGGGGGCATCTCCCCTGGGGCCGCCTGGAAATGTGCAGCCGGCCGAGTTCTGGCTCTTTCCCCTCATCATTCAAATGAGGTCTTTACAGAGGTAAAGAGCTACAGGGAAGGTTTGAGTCTTCATGACCCCACCACACAATTGCAAGAAAGGGGATCTACCCCCAGGAACGAAAGGACAGGGGGACCCAGCCTCCCTACTCACACCCACCTCCCCTCAAACCTGGAGCAGCCAGTGTCCCTGAAGCCCGGGGGCCCATCATGCAGGGCTTTGGGGGGCCACATGAGGGACCCTGTGTCTTTTTCGAAGTGCAGTCGGACGTGTCTAAAGGGACTATTTATTCGTTGTTTGACGGATCTGTTTTCCAGAAGCGACATGATCTATTTACATGACGTTATTCTGGTGGCATCGCTCTGCTTGCCGCCCAGAGAAGGCCCCAGAGAGAGGAGACAGTGGAAGCTGTCATAGGCAGAAGAGTGACCCCCCCGGATGTCCACACCCTGCTCCCCAGAGCCTGTGAATACGTGACTGGACAAGGCAACGGGGAATTAAGGTTGTTACTAGGCTGGCCTTTAAATGGGGAGATTGTCTTGGGCGATCCCTGTGGCTCTGTGTCAGGCTTCTGAGCTACAAAACTCTAGGATTAACAAATTGTGTTGTGTGAAGCCACTGCGGTTGTGGTAGTTTGTCACAGCAACAGTAGGAACCTCACGCCCTGCAAGGCTGGTTAGACCCGCCAGGTTCACGTAGGAAATGACAACTTGGACTTGTGGTCGCGGTGGAGGAGAAAGTGGTAGAGAAACAGGAGAAATGTCGGGGCAGGTGGGGGACCTGGAGAGCTTTGGGTGACAGATTCCACGTGGGGCAGGGGGGGACCAAAGATTCAATAGTGACTCTCATGATTCTTGCGGCAGCACCCACGTGGCGGGAAAGACCTTTAATAGAAGGAGACGTGTGCAGGCTGAGCCTGTGTGAAGACCGGAAGTGAATGCTGGAATTATGTGTGCAGTTAAGGCGCTGAGGGGGGCGCAGGGACGGGTTCGGCTTGGTCCCAGCTTGTGCGAGAGGCCAGAGAGGAGAGGTGGGGGCAGTCCATCCAGCAGGACACGATCCTCATGGTGTCCACTGGGGCCTGAAGGCATCCATCAAGCCCCACGTATCCCCCCACACACTTGAAAAGTACATCCAGTGGGGCGCCTGGGTGGCTCAGTCAGTTAAGCGTCTGACTCTTGATTTCCGTTCAGGTCATGATCTCAGGGTCGTGGGATTGAGCCCCACGTCAGGCTCCACGCACAGCGGGAAATCTGCTTCTCCCTCTCCATCTGCCTCCCACCCTCCCTGGTGCGCGCTCTCTCTCTCTCTAATAAATGCAATCTTTAAAAAAAATTAAAATAAAAGATAAAAAACTGAACCTAAAGAAAGATTTACTATTACTTTGTTTACATCAGTGAATACAGTTTTAAACGCACACTAACTCTGAATGCCTGCTTTTGTGTTACTTTATATAGAAGTGGGTTGGGGCCATCTTTACAATGCCAAAAATGAATTAAAAACACACATGGCAAATAAAAATGCCATGCTCCCTCCCTGACTAGGGTCAAGCAAGAAGATACATACAGGCGATTTACTTTAGAATAGAAAAGGAAAAAAAAAAAAAAAGCCCCTCATCTAAGCTTGGGAATTCTGGTACAAACTTTAAAAAACCTTCCGGGGAGCTGTATGTGGAACAATGTCCAAAGCCCACTCTGAAAGGGAAAACATTCAAATTCCAAGAAACCAGGGCTGAGAGACCTTGTTAAAGACACAGGACATTCAGTAGAGACCCTAGAAAAATCATACCTTAGGAGCAGGGCTAAACCAGCCCTAGAGTGAAGTCTATACCCAAGCTAATAAAATTTAAATATTCTATATTATTCTATACTACATATTCTTAAATATTTCCAGATATTAGCAATGAACAACTGGAAAGTGAAATATTTTTTTAAATACCATTTGAGCGGGGGGTGCCTGGCTGCTTGGCGAGTGGAGTGTATGAGTACACTATTCTGTACTCACCATTTCAACTGCAACACACACCTCTCTCAATATATGATGGCTTGAATTGTGTCTCCCCCCCTTCCAAATTCCTGACCCCCAGTACCTCAGAAAGTGACCTTATTTGGAGATAAGGTCTTTACAGAGGTAATCAAATGAAGATGAGGTCATTAAGGTGGGACCCGATCCCGTATGACTGGCGTCCTTACTCAAAGGGAAAAATCTGCACACAAACACACATAGAGGGCAGAGGATATGAAGACTCAGGGAGAAGACAGCCATCCACAAGCCAAGGAGAGAGGTCTGGGACAGGTCCTTCCCTCCCAGCCCTCAGAAGGAACCAACCCTGCCCACACCTTGACTTTGGGCTTCCAGCCTCCAGAAGTGTGATGATAATACCTTTCTGTTGTGTAAGCCTCCCAGGCTGTGGTACTTAGTAATGGCAGCCCCAGAAAACAAATCCACAGGCCAAGAGTCAATTTAGGATGATCTTCACTACAGGAGCTAGAAGCCAGCTGTGGCGTCAGGCCTGGAGGCAGGGCAAGTGCTAGTCAAAGAGACGGGAAGGGATGAGGGAGGGTCCCAGGGCCTAAGGGACAGGGTCCTTGGGACCAGAACTACCTCTTCATATTTATACTAACCTTAATGTTTTTGTTAATAATATATTAATAATTATACTTAATATTAACTGTCCCCAATTGAAAGTTTTTAATATATTTTTATGTAAAATTAAGAACTTTTACTAACACCATTCTGACTGAGGCATTTTCTCTATTCAAAATAAGTATTCATTTATAGCTTAACTTCTAGGAATAGTACCAATTCTGAAAGTACACGAAGGGTACTTTATTTTATGTTTGGATGCTGAGACTTGAGGGGGGTAGTGACTTGGATTGCTGGGTCCAGATGACAGCAGGCTGGGACCTGGACCCCTGAGTCAGAGGGAGGAGAGAACCAGGGGCCTGATTCCTGGGTCTGAGGGAGGAAAGGGCTGGGGGCCTGGACTCCTGAGTCTGAGGGAGGAGGGGGCTGGGGACCTGGACTCCTGGGTCTGAGGGAGGAGGGGGCTGGGAACATGGACCCACAGATTCCTGAGAGATGAGAGAACTGGGGACCAGGCATCAGGGACCCAGTATTTGAAGTGAATTTCTTACTATCTTTTCTCTTACTTTGCTCCTGGAGCAGGTGCCAAAACCACAGTGAGCACTAAAAACTGTCTGTCCTGTAAGTCTGTTCCTTCTTAAAGGGCATCAATCAAGACAGTCCCTTCGGTTATTCTAAGAACTGCCAAAGCTTCCAGAATATGCCAGCCAGACAGTGAGGACAGAATCAGCCATGCTCACTCTTCCATCATACAGAGAGACCTCCTCCCCTGAAATCTGTGGGCACTGCCCTGGGCAGGTTGCTGGGGCAAGGATGGGATTGGCCATGGCCCTTTTGTAAGGTGCTTCATCCTTTCCTGCCTAATGATCCCAACGCACCCTGTCCTATAGCCCCAAGATGCAAAGGCATCTGACACCTAAATATTTCTCATCCCCTCCAGGAATCACATGCCGATTCTTAGTGTTTGGAATGTTAAAACATGAAATAATTGGGGGCTACAGTATAACCTAATTGTAACTCTTTGGTCTTGGGTTATTTCATCTTTGAAAACATTTTTGGTGGATTCTAAAAGGCCATGATATTCTTCCTGATCTAGCTAAATGGCTTTCTCTTATATTTGTATTAACTCTCCCTAGTTTTTTTAAAGTTCTAATTGTGGTATTTTCTCTATTAAAAATATTCATTAACACCATAGCACTCACAGAAACAGCATCAAGTCTGAGAGTACACCAAGGACCCCTTTGCTTCATGTTACATATAGATCTGGACAGCTTACATATAAATGAAATAGAATTTTCAGCCACGAACAAGAAATCTAAATGAAAGCCACGTCTACTCGGGGGTGGTGGCACGGCCACGTGGGTGAGCTACAGCGGCAACCTGTGCCCTCACAGTCACTGCTCATGCGCACAGTCAGGGGGGCAGGAAATGACTCTGAAGCCGGTATTTCTCTATTCAGCCTTCCAGAAGGCACGGAGGGGGCCGGTGCTGTGACGCGATCAGAGGGAGACGCCCGGGCCGGCCAGGAACCGCCGCGAGGGAAGGTGACAAGGCCAAGCTGCCTCCCAAGGGCTATGGCCATCCGGCGGGTGCTGGGGCAGGGCCCAGGCTGGGAACACGGGAGGCGATTTGGGCAGGGAGAGTAGTTCAGTGGAGGACAGCCAAGGCTGTGACCTCCTAGCCTGGCTGGAGAAGCGGAGACTCCACCGCCCAATGAGAGAAAGTGATCAGGGAGGCCGTTCGAGGACGCACCGCCCACCCTGCTTTGCTCACTGGGCGCTGCAAACACAGCGACCTCCCCGCAACCCCAGCATGCTCGCCACTCGCCATTCTGCGCATGCGTGCCTTCTTAGCCTGGCAGGAATGGGCTTCTCCAGGGCCAATGGGGTGCGGCGTTCCTTTGGGTTCATCCAATAAGCGCATCAGCTGCTCTCACATTGACCAATGGGGCTTCGAGTGACCTGTTGGGGGAAGCTGGCCCCGCCTTCCGTGTCTCTGAGAGACGAAGCCGAGGCTGAGTGGACCGAGAGGGGCTTTCCAGGCCGTTCCTTCGGCACCGTGAGGTTCTTGTGAGGTTATCTGAAAGCCAGGTGGAATTTGCGTCCCTTAAAGAGAAAAGGAGGGCTGGGGACCCAGATTCCTAGGTCCTGAGGAAAGAGGACGGGTTGGGGGGGGCAGGACTCCTGGGTCTGAGCGGGATGGAGGCTGGGGGGCTCAGAATCCTGTGGGAAATGGCGGCTGGAACCCAGAGCCCTGGATCCCTCGGTAGAACAGGACTGGGATCTCAGCATTCCGAGTTCTGGGGGGGCCTGGGGCCTGGTGGGCCGAGAATCCCGGGGCCCGGGGCCTGGGAGAGCGTAGGCTTGAACCAGGCCTCCTGAGCCTGAGGCCGAAGGGGCGTCTGGGCCACACCCGCGACCCCGAGGCCGGAGGGTACCGGTCGTTGAACTCTGTCGTCGGAGAATAGGGGTTTGGGTCGGAGGGTTGCAGCTGTGGAAACCGAGGCACAGTGCTCATGTGCTCCCACTCGCAGGCTAGCCAGGGCCACCCCGACAGTGGCGGCCTCAGTCTTCTGTCGCGCCGGCTGCGCCCCGCAGTGACAGTACTTGCCAGAAGGTCGAAGCAGCCTCGTTGTGTGAGGCCGAACAGCCCCCTCTTCTCTCTCAAATGGCAGATCCTTAGCCGCTCCTCCAAGCCGCTCTGAAAGGCGCCATGGGACCCCGTCGTGTGCAGGGTTTGCTGTTCCTCGTCCTCCTCGGGGCGCCCTCCTTGGCCTGTAAGGACGGGGGGCCTCAGGGGGGAGAGCTGGTTCAGGGAGGAGGCACCTCTGGGGAAGGAGGACTGGCGGCGGGGCGGGCAGGTGCTTAACCGCGATCTCATTTCCTCCCCAGTGAAGCAAAATCTGTACTGTCACAAGGGCATATCGGTGAGTGTAGAAAAGGACCCAAGGAAGAGGTTTAATTGGACCACAGAGAAAGTTGAGACTTGTGACAGTGAGTCATTGTGCCAGGAATCCCTTCTGATGATTAAAGCAGGTAAAGTGAGAAAGGGCAGTTGGGTCCGGTGGGGGGAAGGGTGAGTATGTTGTGGGCAGGGCCGTTCCCCCTCCCCTGGGGCCAAACCATAGGCCCACCATCCCCTGTCTTTCCCTCCTGTCTCCGAACAGGGGCCAAGACAGCAGTTTTGGGCACTAAGGGCTGCGTCGCAGATGGGACACAGGCGATAATGTATGTCCAGCACTCCCCACCCCCAGGCATAATCACAGTCTCGTACAGCAGCTACTGCGAGGAGTCCTTATGCAACAGCAGGCAGAACTTACTGGAGCTGTGGAAGGAGGAAGAGACCCAAGGTACGTGGGGAGGTAAGACATGGGCGCTGAGAGAAATCAGGTAAACCCCTGAAAAGATGGCGGGTCTTCCTTCTCTGTGTTCTTACTTGGCTCGGGCCCGGTGGGGCCATACACAAAAGAACCTCAGAGCTTTTGCCTGCCTTTTTCTAAATTGTTCCCTTGGGGTCTAAACACTGCTCAGAGCACTGGGCTGTCAATGAAGGCTGAGGTGTTAAGTTGGGTTTTGTGCTGATTAAGCAATAAAGTGTCAGTGGAGGCTTCCAGGCAGGATGGTGTGACATCATCAGTCTGGCAGTTACTGCTTCCCTGATTTGGCCAGGCTCTATGGCAATCTGGCCCTGCCTAACTTTCCAGCTTACTTCCTTCTCTTTCTTCCTTGTTTGTTGTGTTTCAGCTGGGGCCAGTAGTCAAAATACTTAACGATAGATATGGTACTGGCCAATCAGAATGGATGCTGGCCATACAAAAAACAGTCCATCTGAAAAACAAACTGAGGGTTCTAGAGGGGAGGAGGGTAGGGGGATGGGTTAGCCTGGTGATGGGTATTAAAGAGGGCACGTTCTGCATGGAGCACTGGGTGTTATGCACAAACAATGAATCATGGAACACTACATCAAAAACTAATGATGTAATATATGGTGATTAACATAACAATAAAAAATTTAAAAAAAAACAGTCCACCCCTATCTGTGCCTACCAACTGAATACCAACACTGCAGTGTCTCACAGTCCTGGAAATCCACCACACTGCTCACACCTCCCAGCCTTTGTCCTTGCTGTTTACTTTGCTACCCACCCCAACTCCCATTTTCACTCAGCTAACCTCTGTTCACCCTCCACCTCAACTCAGGTGTCCACTCTGTGAAAATAGTTAGCAAATTCTCCCAGATGGTTAGATACCCCTCCATTCCTTTGCCATTATACCTTGGACATAGTGCCTACTGAGATGTACCATAATTACTGGCATGTCCTTCTTCTAGATGGTGATCTCAGTGGCAGGAACTGTGTCCTTTTCATCTCTGTCTTCACACCTAAGCACACAGTTTGGAAGTCATGTTGGATGGGTTCTGATAGCAAAGAGAATCAGTTGGAGAGGCATGGTGAGGTTGCAGTGATAGGCCTTGATTGTGGGGGCAAAGACTTGGGGAAGAGAGGGAAGCAAGAAGAGACAAGTCCAGAGGCAGGATATACCCTAATTGCCCTCTGTTTCTCCCTCTAGCTCCCAGTATGTCACCACGCCTCCACTGCCCAACCTGTGTGGCTTTGGGGAACTGTTTGTATGCTCCTTCTCTTCCCTGTCCCAATGATACAGTTCAGTGCTACCAAGGAAGACTTCACATCACTGGAGGTAAACTGAACATCTGGTGGTTTCAGAGGCTGGAAAACCAGACATCTGGGTGGACCCCAAGAGGTTCTGACACTCGGGGTTTGGGGAATGAGGAAGGACTGATTCCTCTCTGATTTCCTAAAACATCCATGTATCTCCCCATCCTTTCTTGTTCCATAGGAGGCATCAGCTCATTTTTGGAAGTCAAAGGCTGTACATCCATAATTGGTTGCAGGCTGATGTCTGGGATCTTTACAGTAGGGCCCATGTGGGTGGAGGAAATCTGTCCATATCAGTCTCTCCCTCAACCCCGAAAGACTGAAAATGGGGCCACCTGGCGTCCTGTTTCGGTTTGGAGGTTAGAGCTAGTGCTGCTGATGTTACTGCAGTAACCTGTCCATTGTTCCTGAGGAGGTGCTTCTTGTCCTGGACTGCAGGACACCCTTCCTGACTGCTGGTCATCAACAAGTTGAGGAGCAAGTGGAGAGCTGAAGAACAGAGAGAGTTCCTGTGGATGTATTTTATATTTCTAATAAAGTTTCTGCTGTGATTGGTGTATAACCCAAGACTAGAAGTGGAATTTTAGTGCTGAAAGGGCCCTTAAAATTCATTGTCTCCAACCCACACATTTTGCAGGAAACAGAGATCTGGAAAATTTGAGTGTCTCACACTGACATAGCTACGGGCAAAACAAGACCAGAACTTTGATACTTGGACCTAAAGTCTGGTTTTCCTTTCACTCTAATGGGTCACTTTCTCTTGATAGCTGGGCAAGAGATCAGTATTAGCCTCCTTCAGAGCACTCTGAGCCCAACCTTAAGGCCACAGTTGGCTGTTTTGTTCTAATATTTCCCTGGGAGGTATGGCAGATTTTGAAAAATCAGACTCCAACTTCTTCTGTTAAAACAGACCCCATCTCCTATGTCCTGTCTCTTGCCCCTTTACATCATTCCTTTCCTTCTCTGCTGCTTACTTCATTCATCTTCAGTGGACATAAGAGGCAGCTGGGGCTCAGCAGGGTATGAAAACTGGGGCCTGGGACTCTTGGGGGGAAGATTTGTTTTTGGTTTCTCCTGCTTATTATGCAAGAACACATAAAACCCATCTTATTATAAAAGACTCCAATGATATAGGAGCCACATGGGAAAAAGTAAAAGGTGGGGAGAGGATAAGGGGGAATAGACATTTATTATTTTATTTAAATAGTTTTATTGTGGTTTAACTGACATAGCCAACTGCACCAGGGGTGGAAGAAGACTTAATGAAAACTACTGACTCCTACAAAGGACAAAGGACAGGGGAGTTTGTCTATCCAAGTTCTTTCTAGAAAGTGTTCTGGTTCTAAATCAACTCTTTGAGTTAAAGACGCACTCCAGCTAATACTTTATCTTTGTCCCTAGGCATCCAGTTTCCCATCATGTCAGTTTGCAGGAGAAAGCACAACAAATCAAATTTGAATTTAAGAGGGGGCATATAAGTTTCTGAAATAATAAGCATTCAGAACCATGACTGGTAAATGCCATCTAGGGCAAAAACAAAAACAAGCCAACTAGATATTTCCCATAGGAGAATGGCTTTCTGATGGCACTGAAGAGAGTTACAAGAGAAATCCCTAAGTGAATGGAAGAATGATACAATTTTCCGAAATTTTGTGGATTGTTTTGGTATTTTAAAAACTATATGTATCGTATGCCAACGAACTTCAGCGGCACGGGCAAATTTCTCAGGCCGCAAACTCAAATATAATAATATATTTACAAAAATATATACATAATATATATAATATAAAAGTATTTTAATATATTGCTTATTTTTATGATACTTTGGTTGTAACAATCCCTCATCTGACCCAGTGGTAGGCAGAAACTTAACTAGTTTGAATAAACTCAGCCACCTCAGGGCTTTCTCCCTTTCCACTCTCCTTGCCCAGGGCTTGGCTACAGGACTGGTGGGAAGGAGGTGACTCTCGTTTTTGCCTCTCTGCTGCTCATGTCCACATTCCTGCTGATGCCTGGTACTTGGCTTCCATTCCTTCTGGCATCCACTGGGAACCTCCAACCCTGTCTGGGCACTGATCGTCATCCACATGGGCCCTCTCAGCTCTGCCATTCCTCTCTCAGCTACTTCAGGGCCTCTTCCAACAGCTCTCAAGTCCCACTGCAATGCTTCAGGACTCTGGGTTGTAGAGGCATCCCATATAGCTGATGAAATTCCCCCAAGATCTGGAGAAAAGATCATTGTACAGGGAACTGCTTCCTCCCTAGGTACTAGGGAAGAGATGGGGCCTAGCCGTTGGGAGTTATCATCCACCTTACACAGACCACTATCACACATTCTTCTCAAATCTATGGTTTTGCAACAATCGTGCCATAAGGCCTTTCAAGGAACTTGAAAATTCCAGGTCTATCAAATCAAAAGTTAGGCCTTCAGAATTATTGTCTCTGTCTCACTTTACGTAAGACTATTTTGAAACTTCAAGGCTGAACATTAAGATATTTCTGGCTCTTTGCATTTCTCGATAATGGCCCTACTAACTGAGGGACAAGGAGCAAAAGAAGTGGTATAAAGAATTGGAGAGTGGGGAGACAACAGTTAAAACGAAATATAATCCTGCCATACACCTATTCATTCATCTGCCTGGACTTAACCTCTGTCCTCACCCATACTGCTCTCTCCAGGGCTCTGGTTCATGTTCTTCCCTCCCTGAAATTCCATCTCCCATTCCCACCCTACCTCTCCATGACAGCCCCACTAGACATCTCACTGCCAATTCTAGCAGACCTTTCCTGACTTCTCTGACACCCACGATCTCCCTCCACAGAGCCCCAGCACATTCAGCCATCTTACTTCAGTATTTTTCTGTTTCCCACACAACGTATCAACTCTCCTGACAAGGTAACAGCACGTCAGGCACAGACCTTGTTTCCAACAGCTTTCCAAGAGCACCCATAAGATGTGACCAGCAAACTGATGCTATGGTTTCTTCCAGAACTGCTTATTGAAGTGAACCAAATTTCCCCTAAACACATACACACTCCTCTCCAACAACTAAACTGACTACCACCAACTGCAGCCAATTACCTTAAACTTGATGTTAATGTGGAGGACAAAAGCAGTGAGTTTCTAGAGGGTAGAGAAGAAAAGAGGCGGAAGTTTAGGAAGGACGGGCACTGAAAAAAGGCAAGAATTTGAAGATCCATCTCCCTATTTCCTTAATAGTGTTATAGTGGCCATGTGAACAAATCCTGGTTTGGGGCAGTGATGTCAGAGTAGGAGGTCAGTTTTGATCAGGAGCTAGGAAACTAGTTGTTTAAGTTGTTTTACTATTATTTAATGTTAACTAAAGTAATAATTTATTGGGCATTAAATCTGTTTCTTGCTCTATGTGCAGAACTTTAGGAATACAATTTATATAATCCCACTGTATGTTTCTGGTGAAGAGCTGGAGGTGACTTAAATAGCCATTACTAAGGGAATGGATAAGCAAAACGGCAGACCTATTCTTTGCATGGTCAACACTTATTAAACCACAGCACTATGTTAAAAAAAAAATTTCTTTCACAACAAAATCACTTGTAGAAGTTAATACCACAATCAAAATACAAAAGTTCATTCACCCCAAAACTCCCTCATTCTACTCCTTTGTAGCCCCATCCTCCCCTCATCCCAGTCGTGGACAACCACGGATCTGTTCTCTATCACTATACATTTGCCTGTTTGAAAATGGCAGAGATATGGAACCACACAGTATGGAACCTTTGAGACCAGCTACTTTCACTCACTATTCGTGCCTCTGAGATTCATCCATGTTGTATGTGTACTGACAGTTAATTGCTTTTTAGGGACAAATATCATTCCATTGTATGGACATACTCCAGTTTATCCATGAAGCCATTGAAGATGTTTGGGTTGTTTCTAGTTTGGGGCAGTAACAAATTAAACTGCTATAAACATTTATTGTACAGGTTTTTTGATAAACATATAATTTTATCTCCAAGATAAATACTTAGGAATAAGATTGCTGGGTCATAAGGCAAGAGTTTGTTTAACTTTACAAGAAATGGAGAAACTGTTTTTCAGAGTGCTTGTGTAATTTTTTTATTACCACCAGCAATGTATGAGAATCCTAGTTTCATAAGTTTTCAGGCTATAGATACTGATATATCATTAGATTCATATTCATTCATTCAAAAGTAAATAGTACTTTTAAAATTTCAGTTTTCAATTTTTCATTGCTAGTATATAGAATAAATGCAATTGATTTTTGCATGTTGACCTATATACTACAACCTTGCTAAATTCATTTATTAGTTCTAGCAGTTTTTTGTAGATTCCATGGAATTTTTCTAAACAATCATGTCATCTGCAAATAGTGACAGTTTTGTTTTTTCCTTTCCAATACGTAGGCCTTTTATTTCTTTTCTTTTTTTTTTTTTTTAAGATTTTACTTATTCATCTGAGACACAGAAATACAGACAGAAAGAGAGAGCATGAGCAGGGGGAGAAGCAGACAGAGAGGGAGAACCAGGCTCCCTGCTGAGGCAGGAGCCTGATGTTGGGCTTGATCCCAGGACCCTGGGATCATGATCTGAGCTGAAGGCAGACAGTTAACCATCTGAGCCACCCAGGCACCCCTTATTTCTTTTTCTGTTCTTATTGTACCGGTTAGGATTTCTAGTATAATGAATAAAAGTAGCGAGAATGGACATTTTGCTTTGTTCCCAATCTTAGGAAGTTTCTTTAAAAATTAAACATACCCTTCCACAGGATTCAGCCTTTCCTTTCCAAAGTACTACCACTCCCCACCCAAAAAAACCAAAAGCATACGTCCATACAAAGATTTTTATACAAATGTTCATAATAGTTTTATTTATAAGAGCCCCAAACTGAAAACAACTCAAATGCTCATCAACAGAGAAAGAATAGATAATAATAATATATCTCTATAATGCAATACTACTCAGTAAAGAAGAAAGGAATGAAATATTGATACATATAACAACCTTTGTCCCTCTACCTACCCCCTGTCCCTGCCTGGGCTTGCGCGCACTTGCACTCTCTCTCTTAAATAAATAAATAAATAAATAAATAAAATCTTAAAAAATAATTGCTCGTGTATTTTCCTTTATTGAGATCTTTATTTCTTCATATGGCTTTGAGTTACTGTCTAGTGTCCTTTCATTTCACTTCGCAAAACTCCCTTGAGCATTTCTTGCGGGGCAAGTCTGGTGGTCACAAACCCCCTCAGCTTTTGTTTATCTGGGAATGTCTTAATTTCTCCCTCACTTTTGAAGAACAGTTTTTCTGGATATAGGATTCTTGGTGGACAGTTTCTTTCTTTTAACACTTTGAATATATTGGTCCTCTGTCTTCTGGTCTCCAAAGTTCCTGATGAGAAATCTGCTGGTGATCTTACCGAGGTTCCTTTGTATGTGATGATTTGCTTCTCTTGCTGCTGTCAAGATTTTCTCTTTGGCTTCTGAAAGTTTGGTTATAATGTGTCTCAGTATGAGTCTCTTTGAGTCCATTTTATTTGGAGTTTGTTGAGCTTCCTGGATGTT